ATGATCGTATTCGTTAGTACCATAAACTCCTTCCACTATGGCTTAAATAAGCTGTCCAAAACCCATGCTTTTAATATCGCCCAAAAGTACATGATAGTTCTCAAATAACAGCAATCAACGAGTTTGTGATAAAAGACTTGAAGATCTTGCAGTTTTGCTCTTCTCATATGGTACTCTACTCATCCAAACAATTAAAGTAAAGGAGATTTCTCTCGATGTATTGGGTGATATACTTGATACCGCACGACTATTGTCGGTATACCGAGCGGTTTTTAGAGATACGATGGTAACTGGGTTGAAGCTTCGACGAGAGAAATGATGGTTAAAAACTGTTAGTTTATTCCACGATTGTGTTTGATGGAATCCTGATGTTATAATGTATCGTTGCTATACCGCTGTACGCTCAAATCTTAGATAAAACTGGCTCTGCTTAGTGTCACAAAATACATAGATAGGTTCTATTTAAAGACGGCGTTTTTAACGTGGATGTTTCAACTGTTTAGACTACTCTGAATCTACTATTCATTTCAAAATATAAGAAGCGTGGATGATTTTTGAATAACTGAAATGAAATAATGTAAATGAACAGTGACAGAGAGTTTAGATTTTACTATTTGTCGTAAAAGGTATAGGCTATCTGTAATTACTTGAAGTTTTCAAGATATGCTCTATATATTTTAACTGCATTTCATCAAAATCTCAATAGTGGTTTTAAGAATATCCGTTGTGAAGATCTCTTCAACAGACAGATGGCCTATAGTCTTGTTCACAAAATGGTGAAAATCAGAACTTTCTACCATTTTTCGTTCACAACTCATCCACATCTAGTTCATTTCGGAATGGATAGAAGTGGAACACAGACTGCTTCCAGAGTGTGTGAGAAAAAAAAATTTGATATGCAAGTCAGAAAAACTTAAATATTTTGTTCACGTAAGAGAACATTCCATTGTTTACAACTTTCTTTCGTTTCAGTTGTTTTACTCTTCAGTGAAGTATAAAACGTCATGATTAATATGATGGGCAAAAGAAAATAATATTAATATTTTATTTTTCAAAACGCATAGTATTTGCACAATTTAGTACACCGAGGAAAAATAATTTCATGATTAGAAAGAATAAAGCATTTTTTCTCGACATAGAGCTTTCTTTTATAAAACAGTTTTCTATCTGGTTTGTAGCTTATTCTCCAATTCTCTGGAGAAATGCTCTTTGATCGATTAGTTAACAGAAAAATATGCCTTACAATTTCTGCAAAAAAACGGTTTTTCACTCTTTGTCGACTTTTCTCTTTCTCTCTCTCTGACGTACACGAACACTGTATAGTTCTGCTCATATCAACAGGCTAGTTCAGAAAGTAAGTTTTGCTTAATCGTCGTATACATATCACTTGAACAAAAAACATAAAAAATTGGTTTTCAGCTGCTGAAAAGTGCTTTTTGTATTCAGCACATTCGATCACCCAGGTGATTTTCTGTTTTTGGCGAGGGATACTTCCAAAAATTCAGATAAAACTTTCAAACTAATATTATTTTCCCATGGAAACTTTTTTGCGAAATTTTATTTCTAAATTTTTCCTAAACTTTTAGAAGTATTCCTCGCCAAAACTAGAAAATCTTATGGGTTATCGAGTGTGCTGAATATAGAAAAGCACTTTTCAGCAACTCAAAACTAACTTTATTTTTGTTCATAGATTTTTTCGACAAAAGTGTAATAGAGTATAAAAGTGTTGCAAAAGTGTAACAATAATAGAAGGTACTTCTGTTCTGGGAGGTGTTCATAGATGACTAATCTAGTCAGAATTGTCTAAGTGAATAGTATAGTGAAACTAGGTATGGGACAAATCGAGCGGGCGCTCGAGCGAGACAGACGAATCGCGCTCGTCGCCCGAGCGAGACTGACCAATCGTGCTCGTCGTCCGAGAGAGACAGACGAATCGCGCACAATTGTTTACTTGCTGTTCACTTATTATATGAACAAAAAATATATTTTCTTCTATTAAAAGAGTAAAATGAATGTCGTATTAGATTTGGAGCGAAATCTACACAAGAAAGCAAATTTTTTACATATTTTGTGAAAGTTGTTAACTCACTCAAGAAGAAACAATTTTCTCACTACATTTTAGTAATATACAGTGCACGAGCGCGCTCGTGTAAAATGTATTCGAGCGACGAGCACGCTCGAACGACAAGCGCTCTTGTGAACATGCGCTCACGTTTCTCCACTCGAACAGCGAGCGCTCGATTTGCCCCATCCCTAGTGAAAACTACGAGTAGACGCTTCAAATACACTCTGAAAAAGGGAATTTCTTCAGAAAATTGAAACTGTGTTTTTCATTTGTCGCAAATAGGGAAGGAATCTGATGTGAGTTTTCTGAAAGTTTGTAAAACCGATATTTTCATTTTCCGGAAGAACAGAAATTGAGTTTTTCGTTTTTTCAAATTCCTATTTGAGACAGTTGTTTTCCAGAAAACATTAGTTCGAAAAACACATTTCTGTTCTTCGTCTTTATCAAAAATGTGAATCTTAATTCCTCTTTTTACCAGTCAGCTGTTTTTAATCAATGCGCTATCTGTGATCATATTTAGAATTATTTTTTATACAGTATAAATATTATCAACTGGAAACTTGCACAGGTAGAGAAAACCCACCCTATGTAATCCACACCATAACGCTACCGCCATTTGGAACCTCATTCGACCCGCGTTTAAGTTAAAGTTTAAGCTTGTGTAAGAAAAGATAATGTTCGTTATATGTATTAGAAAAATAAAAGCGGTGATCGAAATATCTAATTTTCTATTCCTTTTTCAACTTAGAGATCTGTAGAGGAGTCAGTAGAAATATTGTGTCTACAAATCCTGAAAAACAAAATTTCTGACAAACTAAAATGAGCCGAAAAACTGAAATGAGTGAAAAACTCATTTTTTATTGAAAAATAGAACATATCACCGATAAAAATTAAAGTTCATTTAGAGTTAAAGCAAAGTGCTTTTTCGTGTTCAGCATACTTAATAACCTGAAAAATTTTCTATTTTTAGCGAGGGTTACCGCCAAGAAAAATGTTCAAAATTTTATAATTTTACCATGGAGACTTTTCTGCTTCAATTTGTTTGAAAATTTTTCTTAACTTTTTGTCGATAACCTTCTCTAAAAATAGAAAATTTTCCAGGTTATCAAGTGTACTGAATACGAAAAAGCACTTTTCTTTAACTTTAAATGAACTTTAATTTTTTATCGGTGATATGATTAAGTTCTTACTATTGCAAAGAACTTTAAATGAGAACTTCAACTCGTTCTCTGAAAACACGAAGAACACATCTTTTTTAGAGTGTACGTTGCCAAAACAGAAGATAAGAGTAAGGGGATTGAATGATTCGTAATTCTGTTAAACTATTTTCACTCAATTTTTTCAACTGAAATGTCTCATCATAGATTGATGACAGAAATTGCCATCAACAGTAGAAAACAAAGATAATCTGCCATTGTTACTCGAGCATCATAACCTTGGTGCAGGATCTTTTCAAGGTTATTTATTGTTTATGTATAAATATTCTAAAGATAAATAACTTCCATCTTGTCCAGAGCACATGAAAGTCAACTAATGTGCAAATGATGTTTAGCAATTATTTCACCATTAACTCATCAGCATAAAGATGCATTATCTTTATTCCACCAATAAAGTTTGAAACCAAGGAATCGTGAGCGTATTGTTACTAACGGGTGACGCAGTAGAAATCGCTCACTTTGTATTTTATTTATATCTCCTTTTCCCATTCCACTTTTTCGTCCTGACACTTCCTCAGAAAGATGCGCTGTGAAATTCTCTGACAACGTGTTAAAAATAATTTTTTCCTTTATTTTGTCGGTTGAAACTGAAAAGACTGTTTCTTGAATTGAAAAGTAATCAAGATTCAAGCGTCGCAGTATTTCATTTGTATTCGTTTATTTTTACTGTATTTGAAAACATGTTCAATGCAGTTTTTGTAGAGAAGTTCACGATGCGTCTTGAAATAATGAAATTCTATTTCCGTAAGATCTAAATCGTGTTTTTCTCTCGATTAATCATCCAGACCTTTTAAATACTTATTTGTTTTCTTTCTTCATCTATGCAGACTATATTCTTGATATTTCTTTTTCTTTTAATCTATAGAAACGATGACGAACTATAATTTAAAAGCGTTCAACATTTACCGTCCAGCAGTAGCACATGCAGACAATATCAGACGAGAACGCATTGCAAGTTGGTTCTTTCTTCTAATTTTCTTGGCGTCATTAGGTGTTCTGAGTTATCACACGTATGTACATATTAGTAGTAATTCGACAATACCAATAACAGCTCAACAACCTAACGTAGTGCGACCTACATTAGAGGAATACCACAGCCTATATGACAGATATGCTCCCATTTTAATGTGCCAGTGCGCATCAAGTACAATTCAATATCAACGTTTTGTCAGTATGATGCCAATATATCATCAAGTATGCTCAAGTTCTTTCGTGACACAGCAATGGATTGGTTTCCTGAATAATCTATCAATGTCTGATGGATTTATGCAAAATGATTTTCGAAGAACAGCTGCATATTCATTTCAGTCTTTAGCTTCGTTTTGTGAGATGTCACGTCAAACAGTTGAAAATGCTTTAAGTGAATTTTATTCTACAATGTATTTTAGTTCAAATTTAGTGTCACCAGTGTTATTTTACCTGCAAATTGAATCATTTATTAGTTATTTCAATGTGAAGACGACACAATCATTTAGAATTATATTTGATATGATACGCTCAACAACACAAGCAAATGGACTTCTTTCTCGTTTACAAACAAATTTCGATTTCATCCCTTATTACAAGTAATAACTGGTCATAAACTCTCTTAACTACTCGGTCACCTAAAATACGAGCTATACACATCTCTTACACAGGAAGGAAACTTCTGAAACTGACCGTTCCCTTTTACTTCTAGCCAAGAGACTAATGAAAACGCAAGCTATTATTACCCGTTCATGTACAATGAAACATGTCAATGTAGTGTAATGTCGACATGCATAGAGCAAGCCGGAATTTATGATACATCAACTGGTCAAATTCAATTTCTAGTGCCTGGTTTTCTATCAGGATGTTATATAATTGAAGCATTATTACAATCATCACTTGTTTGTTTGTATGATCAAACATGTTTAGGTCAGTTATCCTACATCGATGGAGGACAATGGACGAAACAATTGAACGTTAGTTACCCAAGTAGATATTCACCAGACACACTTATTCAAAAGATAATTGATTCATTGATGATTGAGCAATTGAACACAATCACATCATATGAAAGCTATTATCAAGAATGTCAGCCCACTTGTTATATTAATTTTCCACAAAATACGTCGAATACATCATCAATGATGGTACAACAGCTCATGGATGATAATCTTACGTTTGTAGCTATTATTCTTGGACTAGCTGCAGCAATTTCGATTATCTTAAAAATATTAATTCTATGTTTGGTTAATCTGTTCATTTGTACTGATAAAAATGGAATTAATATTGTTCCAGTTCAACAAGTGGACATTGTCATGAATACTGTTAGGCAACAACAAATTGAAATTAATAACTTAAAAGAGTATGTTAGAAGCAAGCAATATTGATATCAAAATAAATCAAAAATCACATGAACTTAACTGCATTACAAGTGATTTTCTACTTACACTATTTCAACGTTATTTTGCTTTTGTAAACTTATAAATGTTTTCAATAAATGCTTTCCTTGTTATCAAATGAAAATGATAAATGAAAGTCTAGAGTGAGTTTGTGCGTTATAGAGATAGTTGACATGATATGTCATTGAATAATAACAACAAGCAAATATATGAATCATTTTTGGATAAAAGACAAGATAGACTACTGTAATATGTCTACATTGATCGATGAGTTAACCCATGTAGAATTGCAAAAGTCTTTTTGCGTGGTCACGCAAAAAAAAGTGCAATAACATAAGTGATGTAACGCGAAAAATGGTTACAAATGCTAAATTCTGTATATTCTTCTAGAACAAAATATTTACAAAATTCTTGATTGAAACTAAATACTTACAAAAGTCTGTATTAGTTCGACGAATTTTGTAAATATTTTGTTCTAGAACAATATACAGAATTTGGCATTTGTAACCATTTTTCGCATTACGGCACTTCTATTTGTGACTTCTTTTTTTGCGTTATTCACCTGATTCAGGCAAAAAAAAGTTTTGGTTTTGGCGGCATGGGAAGAGATGATGCACACAAGCTAATATTCTCTACAAAGAAAGGGTACAGACAGAACCTTTCAAGGGTCCTTTCATTGGGTCATACACTGAACTCTCAAAACGGTTCGGTACGGAACCTTCATATTTCCCAGGAAAATAGATTCCGTCTGACAAATAATGTTCAGTATTAAATATTTATAAATATATACAGTACATTTGACGGAGTGCAGATGTTAAGCCGTGAGCTATTTTCTTTAGCTACTCAAGACAGATAAGCTTTATGTGCGACGTTGGAAACAAAGGACAGATAATATTTTACACAAGAGTTCGGAGAGTTGAATTTTTGATAAAATGATAAACACGTCAGAATAAGATATCCATTGTTTTTTTTAATATAGGATGACAAACTAATTAAAATATGAAAATATTAGCTCATGCTTTCATGTACCGTCCGAGTTACGAACGACTTAAGATCGACAAGTCCTCATCGGACAAAATCAGAAAACCCTTGAGAACCCCTCCCTTGAGTACTCGGCAAAAGAAATAGTAAGCCCGGCCTAAACTGAATGCAAACGAAATTTTTCGAAAATTTCTTTTTCCGTGAAATCTTAGCTCAAGTCAGTTACAATCATTTTCTGAAAGTTTTTCAGATATACCATTATTATTTGTCGACATAATTTTTCTACTTTTAATGTTTAGAGAGAGGCCTGTTTTACGATTTTTTCTGTTATAAAAGCGTTCCAACCAAAATTAAATGGTTACCTAGAATTCTGATTGATTTTTTGATCGAATAAAGTATCAGATAAGGTACCGAGATGTGAAAAGTTATTGAATTTCCATATAATCAATTTAAATATGCCAGCTAAGTGTGGTTACAGATTATAATTTGCATAACAGTCAAATGGTGAAACCTATTCCTAATCCCATCAAGAATCCACAACCATCACTAAGGCAACTACATTCAAGACCGCATTTTTTTCTTATCATCAAATGTATATAAGCATTTAAGTCAGTTACTGAAAGACAAAGCGCAGAAAGTAACTTCAGCAATAGACCGGATAGCAAACAGGGATGTTCGGTTCTCGGCACTTGTGAATAACCGGAAAGTAATTCAGGATTCTTTTTGGACCTTGATCGCTGGAAAACTGCTGACCGACGAGACCTGGAGACAAAAACATTTTTTCATTCCCATAACTCATTAGGCCGAACGTTTATTGAAAGTTTCGTTAAGATCGGATGTACGGTGTCGGAGATCGTTTCTGAGAGGGGTAGGCCCTTAATCAAACGATTAGTATTTTATAACTTCTTAACTCGAAATTGATTTAATGTTTAGGTTAAAGTACATTTTTTTCAGACTAATTAAAACTTTCTCATACAAACTATCGGTTGGCGTAGAATAAATTAGACTGTTTATTCCTTCTTACACTTCATTCAGCTAATTTTCTTACCCAAATGTTTCCTGTTGAATTCTCTATAAAAGATGTATTGACCGCTTTATTGCAAAATCTGAAGCTGTAAAATGTCACGAGAAATGGTGAAAAGGGTTTCAGGATATTTTTGAATATCCTGAAACCCTTTTCACCATTTCTCGTCTAAGACTACGTTGTATTGCAAAAGGTAAAAATTCTCCTTACCCTCTTGTTATCGTTCCCATATACGTGATTTGATTTTATTATTCACTAGAGGAAATGGTTTATGCGCTTTATTAAACGTTTCCTTCAATTCTTTTAGTTTTTTACCCATATCCGGTTTTAGTTAAAGGCCGCTACAATACATTGTTGAGGTTGTTCAAAATTATAAATTTAAATGAGTTAAATCGTTCAAAAGCACTCAGAAAAATATATAGCTTTATCCTATTTCTGTTGGATTTAAATTTTTTAACCGTTTTTAAGATTTAAAAACGGTGATATACCAAAATTCTTACCAATTGATTTAGGGTTGAAACTTACTTTATTTTTCGCTATTTCAAACTTAGTCTAAAAATCAAATGAGGTGAAATACATAACTTTCTGTTTGACCCCACCCTTCCTGATAGACTTCCATGGATTTGAAGATAGGAGATCAAAAACGCGGTGGACAAATAAGGAGATTAGCAATCCCCTTCTCTCTATGCCTAGTGGCCCTTCCCTCCAGGACGAAAGGACGTTCTTCGAATTTTGTTAGGCTTACAAACAAGACAAAACATTTACTTTCATGAAGAAGTAAATGAATGTCTTTAGACTTATAAAGCAAGCTTTTTCAGGAAAAAAGTAAATGAATTTTTTCATGTTTATGGAGAAAGTTTTTTCAGTAAATATGTATCTTTTTAGATTTATAAAGAAAGTGATTTCGACAAATTAGTAAGTGAATTTTTTTCGGTTTATCAAAAAGGGTTTTTCAAGAAATAAATAAATGAATCTTTTTAGGTGTATGAAGGAAATTTGTTTACGTTTTTGTTGAAAAAACTTTCTTTATAAACCTAAAAAGAATGATTTTCTAGAAAGCCGATGTTTGAAAGCCAATTTGCTTGCAGTTAAACCACTTTATTAACTTGAATATGCAGTGCAGCAAAAGGAGCACATGGGGAACTGCGTAGTTCAATAGAAAATATCTTTTTTTCATCATTCACTTTAACGTTACGCTTTCAGACAGTCGAAATGAAGTTGGAATTCCGTAATGGACGATATTTTCGAATTTTTATTTTATTCCTTGAGCTTATTTCAAACCGAAGCAGATATTCAGAATGCTTGTTAAAAACTATACAACTTCCATCTAAAAAGTTTTTTTATCTGAACTTTCAATCTGTAGAAAAATTATAAAATTTAGATACCTATTGAGAAAAGCTCTATTTTCTGAAATTCCGTCACGCTTGACTAACTGCGATTACAATATAAGCTGCTCTTCGAGTTTCGGGAACCTATCATTTGTCTAGCAGAGATAAGACCTTGTATATTTTAAGTTGGCTCGACATAGATACTTTAATGAATACGATTAAGAAGACTAGTATATCTCTGTTTATTTTTATGTTTTGTTATTGTCTCTTTCGATAGTCTGTATCTTTATTTACCCTAGATCTTTCTCTCTGTTTAAAATGCCTCACTGATTAAAAGCCTTACTGTCAACAGAAAGAAAGGTTCTTTTAAAGTTTTTGTTTCTAGTGGTAAACATAAGTATTTTTTCTGACAATTTTTTGAATATTTTCGTTTAAATTATTACTTCAAAAATATACAAAAAGTTTGGATGTTTTGAAGTAATGATTTGAACGAAAACTTGAAAGACTTCAGCTCTCGGTACAGCACCGTCAATGTGGTAAAATAAACGATTGCTCCGATCTATTCGCCTCTTAGAATATGATTTTTTTGCAATATTTCAGTTTGAACGGGCAACTCCGTCGTGTTTCACCTGTCAGATACAGTTGACAAGCTTCTGAAATTGTCAGCCATCTCGCTACTAGTCATCAACTGCACCTTTGATCAGAAGGCTCGCCTGACGCAGAGTTCTTTCGCCCAATCACTTGAGCTCATACACACTTCGCTGACCACGTACTGGCTTTCAGGAAAGCCACAAGGACTAGCCAGAGAAGCTGTATTGTACGTCACAACGTAGTGAGTATGGCCCTGTCTACACCACAAAAGTTAAAGGAGCATTAAGCAATCCTATTGGCTTAAACTAACTTTCAGCCAATAGAATTGCTTAAAGCTCCGTTAACTTTTGTAGTGTAGACGAGGCCTATGCTGTCAGACGGGTGATCCAAGGCGCTAAGACATAAATAACTTTCCCAAGGTTATTACATAACTTTGCTAGCGACGAGATTCGAACACAGTACCTGTGAAGTACGTGTGAAACAACATAACTATCAAGCTGTTGTTTTTAGTGAAAGTTTTAAAAATCTACCGTAAAGCCAGTTTTACGAACATTAGGGTTTTCAGGGTGTTTTCACCTAATATTAAAGAATTACTATTCACTCAAAAAACATCAGAGCGACTTCAAAACTTTAGAATATGATTAATGTTGTCCGCTAAACGTGATTATAACATCGAAAAAGTCGAAAGACACATTTTTGTAAATAGCTTTTCCAGAAACTCTTTTGGAGAATCTCAGAATTTTCTAAAATTTATTTTCATAGCTTCTATATACACGATATAGAGTAGCTCAAGTACTCTACATTCTGAAGTTTTGAAGTCGTTCTCATGTTTTTTGAGTGAATAGTAATTCTTTAATATTAGGTCAAAACACCCTGAAAACCCTAATGTTCGTAAAACTGGCTTTACGGTACATTTTTAAAACTTTCACTAAAAACGAATATTGCCACAAAGCTCAGCACGGTCGATTATCCATAGTCCATCTGCCATTAAAACTACCAAGAGTCACCGGGTGCCAGTCCTGGGACTCGTCCGAAATCCAATACAACGCCCGAATCGCGAAAAATCAAGTCCTCACTTTACTGCCGTTTTGAAGAGAACACCTCGGACTATCAGCCTTTGGAAAGAAATCAATACATGCCTATGGGAATTTCGGAAGGGCTAAGCTAGTTTTCTAAAGATTCTCTGAAAAAACTCGCTTCAGAAATTTTTCTGAAATGCGCTTTTGCTTACAGAAATGTGTGCTCACGTGTCTCTTTCTCAATGCTGAGAACCGCTGGTCTGGCTCATACTCCGATCAAAAGTTATTCAAACATCCAAGACTTTAGCGCTTGGGATAAATGTAAATGGTACAGAAAGTTTTAATAAGATAAAATTATACTCAGACGTTTAGTACTAGGAAGTTAATTCTACTGGTCACATATATCACCTCTAGATCTATACTGAATCTGAATCCGACAAATGTAATTTTTGTGTGTTCTGCTATATTTAGTCTTATTGGAAAGGATATTTCGACATCTTCTCATCATTGATCTAAATTGAAAACGGAAGAGTTTTGAAAGATTTGACTGTCATTATGTTTAAAATAACGAAAAACGTATTGTACAAGTTTTTAACACTAGTTCAAAAACGATAAATGTCATGTATAATTTTATTGAGATTCTCTACGTATCAGAATGCACGCTGGTACAAAGAATTTCGGAAAATGATGAAAGCTCACTGTAGTCGAAGCTTTTGATGTCCATCAACTTCATACAAGCACTAAAGTACGCACGCTCTAAAACGCCGCTTTTCGTTCGTACAAGCAGTGAGGCTATTTACACAAGAAGCATTTAATTGACCAGTGGTTTTAAAAATGTGTTTTAGACAGACAGGAAGTATTTACTAAATTGTTAATACAAGTAACCTGTATAAATTAATTAAATGATTCGCTATTCAATCAACACTTGCCCATGTGAAAAATCAATGCTGATATGATGAATACAAAAATATTGATTAATTTTTCCATACATTAATCGGCATCAATTAAAGAGAGAGATAAAAGAGAGTCTGCTCATGAACATTCACACAAAAAAGGGAATAAGAACTATATATTCTCAAAAGACTTTTATGTTGAATGGTTTTTAAGATGAATCATACTACATATGATTGATCTAGAAGGACAGAGAAAGAGAAAAATATTTTACTGTTCTACACGTGTTTTATTGTCTTTTTCTATGTTAGAAGTTACTTTTTGTACATCAGTTGACTGATGATGTCATTAGAATAAAGACGAAACGTCTCATTTGAAATAGTTATTTCAACATGAAAAAGGTGATTTTATTCTTGATTTCTATTATAAAATTTTTCACCTTAAACAAAGAATCAATTGTTATCAATTGTTTTTCTATCATTTGCAGTATTTGAATTTTGGTTTGATATAAGGTTGATAATATTTAATCTCAGAGTACAGAGAAAGGATGAAAATAAAGACCTTGTTAGTATATACGTGCTGATTATAAAAAAATGGAAAGAAATATAAAAGACGGATTATAAATTGAAAATATCTGCTTATTCTAAAACTGTAAAAGTTAGTATGCAAAGCAATATTGTCGGGCATAAGAACTGCTGATTATGGTTGTTTACGTGAATGATCTTTGATTGCTTTTTCCTATTCTGACAATGCTTGTTAGCGCCTTCAACAAATTTCAAATATCGAGCTTGAAGTTTATCTTCGAAAAGCTGCTTGATTTTCGATCCATTCAGAGCATGAGCAGTGGAAAAGCTTACAAAGAAATTAGAGTAAACAGGAATGTAGCTCAGGAGTCACTTATAGATTGTTAGAAGAGTGAAGTACAGTTACATCCGAATATATACTCATCGTATTAACCAGTCTCAACGGTCATTATCCATCATCACTTTAAACAGGTCATACGTCTTATGACATCGTATGACAATAACAATGATCATTTTCTTTCCTCCGCTTCTTTCGTTAAAACATCAGTTGTACACAACTGCCAAGTGTGCCTCTGATGAAAGGGACAATGGTACATGTTTATTAGATGATCTACTTCAAATCCATGTAGACAATAATTGCTAAATAAGATATGAAAACCTTTATTAGTATGAGTAAAAAAGGTAAGAAAAATGGCAATGTAGTTACAACTATATTCTCACAATCATGAATGGTACGATGTATTCATGTACATTGTCTAGTTTTTGTCTTGATGTTTTTCAACACCGGCACCGAAACGAGCAAATTTTGCATTTATTGCCATACTTCTATACTCTTGACTTTGTAAATAAGGTTTTAATTCTGGTATTTCTTGAAATCTTTTCAAATACTTTAAAACATTTGGATATTCTTTCCATGAATCATTTGTGATTAACCAACAAACATCAATATGTTCATAAAATTGAAAATCAGCCGCTGTTAGGTCATTTGATATTAACCATTTTTTATTATATTTACCTAAAAATTTTTCTAACATTTTTAAATAATTCGTTAATGGTCCATTGATAAATATTTGTTTGGCATCTTCAAAACCTTCATTGATGTCTGAATATTCTACGTTTTTCAGATCTACTAAGCACTATCACACATCATGACAACATCATCAAGAGAAGCTAAAAACGACCAAATGATACTTGGCTATTGGAACATTCGTGGTTTGGTTGAACCGAGTCGTATGATATTGCATTATACAAAAACTCCATTTACAAATCAAACCTATGCACTTCAAGATGGTCCACATTATGCCGGTGAATGGTTAAAAGTAAAACAAACATTTAGTCTTGATTTAGCGGCATATACAGAAGAAGAGTAAATCATATGATGATAACTATGTTTTACTTACACAGCACGTATTTAGCGAATAAATCCATTTCCAAATTTGCCGTATTTAATTGATGGTGATATAAAATTAACACAAAGTAATGTAATTCTACGCTATTTAGGGCGAAAATTTAATATGATGGGTAAAACGGAAAAAGAGGTAGCAATGTGTGAATTATTGATTGATCAGTTATTTAATTTACGTACAGAATTTAGTAAAGCTGCATACGGTCCAGTTGAAGGTTTTGAAGATGCCAAACAAATATTTATCAATGGACCATTAACGAATTATTTAAAAATGTTAGAAAAATTTTTAGGTAAATAT